CCAAAGCGTTGGCATTTCTGCGTTACCGCGAGAGCATATGACACTTGAAACTCTTGATGTAAACCACAAGATCTCACAAGGTGGAGTTACATTTAAAATGCAGCGCCCTACGAAACATTATCGACCATCGGCACTTTTACGATGGATTTCTGTTCACCCATGAGAGACTGTACCAATGCAGCAAAATAAAACGGTGGACATATGGTAAACATTAATAAGTGTGAGTGTACTAGCTGTTGTTGACAACCAAGAAACTTCATCATCCTCAGTGGTGCGAGTATATAGTATACCTGTTAGGTTACTCAATCGATAATGAACTCTTTGTCGTTGGTGCTGGGATGTTCGAACCTTTCTGCACGACCCTGACATCCAAAGTCTGACGACGCGCAGCGTTTATCCGTACAACGTGCTTATCTAATGTCTATCTGAAGTCCGAATTCCTGACTAAAGCGCTCAAGATTTCGGGAGTCAACTTCACCCCCTGTCACAGCGACCCATGCAAGTCTTCCGTTTGATCACTTTCTGGTAACAAGCGAATATTGCGTTACCTGCGTGGGGACTGGATTACGGTCTACGTGCGACTGAAGGGTCACTTCAGGAACATTTATATTGTCCTCGTGGTTGCAGAAACTTCCGCTGACACAGGGGGGCGATAAAGAGGTATTTTGCTCGCATCTACAGGTGTTAATTACGGAGACTCCTTCGCGGCGATCTGCTGATTGTTGCTGGGGGCTGGAATAGCGGGACTGGACCTAGCTACACTATAAACGGTCATCTTATTGGCCCTTTGGGCTTGGCTCTCGATGCGACAGTGCTGAGAAATTGCTAAACTATGCTGATCAGGACCAACGGTTTGTCCCCAACACACGTACGTCATTATGTGTGCAGATAATGATGGCCATCTCGTCTAACAGGCTAATTAATACGCCCACCAATCCAGTTTGATGTATCTCCCTACCCGATTTCCTGCACAACTGAGCCAATCATTAAAAGGCCACAAGAGCATGTGTCATATAACTAAAAAGGCTGTTCCTGTTATATTTCCTCAGTTGCAAATTTTAAAATGTTTGAAGAACCGGACGAATGAGACCTTCGTACAATAATATATATTATACGTCAGCAGATATGTATGCGCACTAAACCAATGAAACTCTTCTAGTAGCATTTGATACATTTGGATTGAAAAAAGTTTAATTTCGGGATAGAATAGGAGATAGTCGAATGCAACCAACTTACCTTTGATACGTTTGGTAAAATTTAGAAGGTACTTGTAGGGGTGGGAGACTTGTAGGTCAAACTTGATCGTCTTCAGTAAGACACGTTCGTACATCATAACCTCTTCCTGAAGGTAAGAAGAACAAGAAATGAATGGAATCACTAGCTAAAGGATATCAATACCAGTGCGAAAGGAATATACGATAAAAATGAACTGATGCATACTCTAAGCTCAGTGTGTGCGGTTCCTGGCAACCATTATTCTGTCACAACAATCGCAACAGTGCAC